AGAGATCCCCTCCCAGAGGAGCATGGGATGGAATGTTTCTTGTACCAATTTTAGCCGCTTTAACTCAGCCAGGGTCCAGCATTCTCCACTCACAGGGAGATAGGGATCAATTACGCTTCCATCTGCCTCTCTTTCTTGCACCGGCCCTGAAGTCATGTACATAGAATGCACATTCCAGCTTTCTCTTGCATTATGTCCTAATGAAAAAATGAAGCCCTTTTCACCCAAAAAAATCATTAGCATCGTTAGGACCTGCCTAGCTTGTCTAACTGTGGTTCTGGGTTAGTCCTTTTTTCACCTTGATGAGGAAACAAGATGGAACTTCAGCTGAATCCTGCCTCTCCTGACTCTACTTGTGACCCATGTTGGACGGCCTGAATAAATGAATTACAAGCTGGAAATACAGTGCACATAATGGGTGTTGTTATGAAGGAGTTTAACAATGGCCTGGCCCCAGGGAATCTCTGGATTTAATGGATGGCCTTTGGAGTTGAATCACTATGGAGACAGAGGCCCACGGGGAGAGCAAGCTGCCGGCCCACTTGGACTGCAGCTTAATCATATTCACTCCAGTCCCGGCACTACAGGATCTGGCCCACGTGTGGAGAAACACTACACACAATTACAGACACTTATAACATACTGAAGCCCTGTGTCTCTTCTGCCTCTGATCATATCGCTGACTTGCAGAAAGACAATCGGCTGATGTATGGTATTTGAATAAAATACAAATTCAGTGTCCAGCGTCAGCTCTAATTGTTCATCTTTACGCATAACGACTTGTTTCTACAGAAGCCTGCAAAATATATTCATTATTCTGTCATATCTTCGCATTTACTATTTGCTCTTGCATTCTTTGCCTAGTGATATATCACATTCTTCCATTAGCCTATGACTTTTTGTGTAACAGTCTTTATGGATCATGGTCAGTTAAGTGAGTCAACCAGAAAGAGATTATGATCTGCTGCTTGCATGCCACCGCTAACATAATTGCAAATCACCACCATCTTTTCAGTGCACCTGTCCAGATCAGTTGTTTTCAGGTTTCAGAGCTGATAGTTGAGAAGAAATTGTATTGCTCCCTTATTTTTCAAGGACAATATCTGTTAAGCTGGGCGCAGCACTGGTGATCTGGTCCACAGCAGTATTGTTCTGAATATCTCATTAGAGGTGATCTTAACAGGAGCAGCTCAGGTTCATGTGAAGGACGAGTTAGCAATTAGAGCCTCTTTGTGCCGACTGGCTCAGGACAAAACGGATTGTCTTTGTAACGGCTTCTCCAGTTAAGCACAGTGTCATGTTGTAGAGTTCAAGCAGCTTGACCATATCGGACTTCGCAACCTGGCAACATCACACAAGTGTTTGTAAGACCTTTAGCCTGCTGACCAACATCAACAGACAATATCACTGGTAAACAGCTTTCTTAAGGACTCTTAGACGTGACACATAGTCAGTTTCTCTCTAGTTCTCATGAAAATGCCTCTTCTGCTGACCTGCTAGTCAACCAGAAAATGTGAAGATGTGAACATCTTGATTGGACTTTTGGAGAAAGCATGCTGATTGATAATTAGCATGCTAGTTGCAATATGGCACATTAACACATTCACACAAAACAGTTTTAAGAGCCATTGGCAAGTCTTTCTGAAAGTTAAAATAAGTTTTAAGTGCTATAACTATACTGACATATAATGGCAAGTCATGATATAAATCAATATTTGTTTTTAGGTCAAAACCCATGGAATAGCCAGTTTCTTTAAAAATGTATGTTCGGAGGCTACAATATTGGAGTTGGTTTGGATTTTGCTTAACCTAATGGAACTGCCAATCACTGAAACTCAAGAATGTTGATCGAACATTAGGCAAGGAGTAAGAAACTAAAAAACAACTCAAATAACCAGTACCCTAATATTGTACTGAATACTGTCATTATGCTGATACAACTGACTTACTCATTTTACCCCAGTTGTGGTACTCAATTCTTATATTGTAAATGCAAATTTAAATATTAGCTTGTTGTTCCTCGAATGTTGTGAATGCACCTACTCATGCCCCTCATCAAGTCAGCAATTATCTTGGTTGTGTACATGAACCATAAAGAGTTTCCGTGCAAGATATCAGGTGAAAAGAAGCACATTGCAGAATGCAAATATTGCAAAGCATGAAACACTGAGGTGGCTGGCACAATTTCCAATTTCTATTGACATCTGGAAAGGAAATATACAGACTGGCACGGAGGCTAATGCTAGCAAACTCAGTTTGTCAAGAAGCAATGACTAGCTGACTGCTCAGCCAAAATTTGTTTTACACAATAATTTACCAATAGCTACCCAACCAGCTAGCCAACAAGCTGTAATCATAATTATTAATACCCATGTCCCAAATTAACTTTGTTACATCACAAACCTTGGTTTCCAGAGAGACATAGTCAGTCAGCATCCATGGAGTACTTATGTTAAGGTTTTAGGGGAGACTGAGTCAGTTTATGAATGGGATCAGTTCAGGCTTGGGTGGTATCTAATTTTTCATACTGTTAAACAGTTCAGACATTATATCACAGTATAATATATTTTGATGATGTTTTCAAAACCAACATCATTGTAGTATTTTGAAATCTTGATAATAAAATCTGGGGGTCCCCCATAATACATTTCACAAATTCCAAAAAATGAATATATGCAAAATATCACTTCTTTTAATCCAATCACTTCTTCTGGTCACTTCTTTCGACCCGATAATTGCACCAGATATTACTGCAGTTCACTAGGGAAACATGGATTACTATTGTGCAACAATAATTACACAATAGCATAACTTTAAAAGAAAAATTGTATTATTTTTTTCCCGTACTGAACAAACTTTGGATAGACTGCAAACCATCGAACCCCTCTACCACCCTAAACTAGCTGGGGGGCAATGACCAGTCAGTTTGAACTAGGAATTAAAGCTTTATTGATCTTTCAGTTTTTAAAATATTTTCTCCATGAGCTGATTTATACAGAATGCTCCATGTTAACGGGATGAATATTAACTGAAATATATTTTTTTATATTGTAGCACCGGCGAGATGGCGCCAAGTAGCGGATTCATTTGCATATCCCGGCATGCTCGTGAGCTGTGTAAATAGCCCCCATGTATAATTGTAAGTACTTGTGTTCCCGATTGTTGTGTGTGCCCTTACCCTGTCATATGTGGACCTGGGCTGATCCTCTCATGTCTTTAGCCATCGTGTAAATTACCTGCTGTGTGTGTGCGCCTTACTAACCAGTGTCCAACCTCCCTGCGTTTCCCTGTTATACACCGTCAGAGAGGGTGCTTGTTCTTGTGTGTCTGGCACTTTGAAGTACTGCAGTTAAAAGGGCTGCTTCATCAAGAGCCATATTGCTTCACTTCTCTCCTATGCCTAGGTTTGCTAGTTATTACAACATTTATTTTATTTTTTTTTCTTACTGGAAGCAATTGACATGTACACCTACGACTGACAACTGAGTGCATATACTGTAGGTTTAGGGGTTTGAATTTGTAGAGGGGTTTGAAAGCAATCTGCAAATGACACTATGCATTTTCGCACCGAAGTTCTGGAACTTGGTCCCTGGTTACTGGTTACTGGTTCCTAGGCTGTCTCGACAGGTCCTGGCCGCTTATGTGTGTCGTAGGTAAACTTCACACAATTTGAAACCCTGGAGAATGAACAATTTGTTTTGTTATTTGTTAGTTATTGGAGAGATCAATCGCAATTAACACAGGACACAGTCTTTTATTTATATTTTATTTATACAACCACTGACATCTTTATATTTCATTCTTAAATCTGGCTGGCAGATTGATCTTTCATCTTGACAGGATAAAAAATGGTGTAACGCTATCCTGCTAATATGTGCTGGAAAGTTTCACCGGCACCAGCAGTATTACACAAAAAACATGACAAAATTTACTGGTCCCAGAAAAAGTTCCTACGGTAAGAAAGCCCCTATGACACCTTCTCCCTCTCCATGTGAGTTACCAGAGTGATAGCCAGGAAAGGTCAGCTCTCAGCCCTGCCTGTTGTGCGCTAGCTTGGTTGGTCGAATTGAGAGTATGGCGATCAATTTTAAATTGGTAGTAAATGAAATGGCTAGTTAGTAAAACCAAAGTCCTTTGATTCAAACAGAATATATATCTAGTGACCATCCACAATGATATAAATCAATTTAAAGAAACTTAGACATGTCAGCTATGAAGCTGATTTTTTCCAAACGATAGCACGAAACATCGGGTAGAAAAAAATATCTGTTTACAATGCATTATTTGTGTATTTCTGAATAATGTATTCGTATACATATTTGAGCGCATCCCTACTAACTAGGCCAGTGTTTCTCGAACTGTGCCGCCACATGCTGGTGTGTCTTAGGAATTGGTAAGGTGAATTTTGGAATTACTCTTATGATATTTTACATTCAGAAAAATACTTTTTTCATAAATGGTGAGCCTTGTTTCAAAACATCTGAGAAGTCCAGAGCTACAATAGCTAGCTAGCGAACAAGCTCTTCTTCACCAACCTGACCCTGCAGATGAAGCTGATATGGCAACATGAGATCATTTTTCCTCCATGTCCTCGAGCCTCACCTGCGGCACCTTGCCTTTTTTTTTGTTTTGAACCGTTAAGTAGCTAGGTAGCTTCCACCAGACGTCAATGGCGACAAGACCGGTACCCTTGCTTTTGCTGTCTCATACAAATTGTGCATGTGCAAAGTATTGGTGAAGAAAATCTGCCGCTTGAGAACCCAAAACGTACTACTTGCGTTTTTGATCAATGATATCATATTATTTCCGAGGATTTTAAAGCATATAGTTATAAAGCTAAAAACAATCTTAAATAAAACACACACAACCATTCATGATTTGAAACTGAATAGGCAATTAATGCAAAACTCTTCCCTCTGGAAGATTCCCTTTTTTTTTCGAAGACCAGTTTAATTATTTACTATTATATTTTTCGTACATTGTTTTTAATAATGACTCACCTTATGTGGACATGTGGGTTGGATTGAAGGAAATGACGCGTCTGGATGCTGGCCCCGGTTCTGCAAAAGAAGTAGTCATATTTTAAGATATGGTTGTCTCTGCAAGTTTGAGAGACTATGACATTCAATACATTTCTCTTAATTTTAACAAGTATGCAAGGTGAGGTTTTGTTATTACATACTTTACTACTGTGAAGAGAACAGGGGGTGAACAAAATAACACAAGTACCAAATGAAAAATAAATTTAACTTTGAAGTAAGTAAAGGTATAGCACAAGACAAGTTCAGCGACAATGGTGACTTTTAAAAGCTTGAAATTGGCTTGAAAGCCAATTCACAGTATGTGTCAGGTTGAAGAAGGTCTGATAATCAGCAGAATGATATAACCTGGCTGGGGACAATTCTGGTTCCAAGGAGTGCCCGAATTGCACATAAATCAATCACAAAAACTACGACTTTATTTAGTCAGTGATGAGAAACAACCTTAAAAATGATTAAAGAATTTGCCAACCAGAAACAAACTGCAGTGGCAAAGAAGGACAGTGCCCAGAAGTCGAGGTTCACTGGCATTTAACAGGATAACCGCTAAACACCATAGAAGTACAGCTTCAAAAATTACCATAAACCTGAATCAGCACCTCTGTGACCCAGGCTCAGAAGAACTCTGTACACTGTGAGCTTGACAAAGCTAAAATTTATGACAAGTCTGTACAAAAACTGCCTACATCCAAGACCAAATGCATAACCTGGACTATGGAACACAAAAACCTGGGCCCCTGAGCAATTGAAAACAAAGTTATATGGTAAGATGAGTCATCATTCATGCTTTTTTTCTACAAGCTGAAGTGTATACACTTGGAAAAAGCCAAAGGATGCCTTCAACCAGCAACATTTGATGGTATGGTCGGCCATCTTGGGGGAGTCATTTGGTCCAATCACTGCTCAGTTGTATTACAGCCATGTAACATTAGGCTATTTTATGGTGCAAAAGCTGTTCCCTCATGATGTTGCCATTCCAAGATGATAATGCCCCCATACATACTGTAAATAAGTTCACTAGTGGTTTCATAAGCACCAGAAGGAAGCCAAATACCTTCTGTGCCCTGCCCATCTAAACATCACTGAACATTTATGGGAAGTTCTGTAGTGCAGAATAGAATGTAAATTTCAGGCTTTTTTTGAGGCTTTTCTTTCTGAATATTGGTCCAAAATCCAAATATGCAGAGTACTGCATTACAGCATTCAAAGAAGGATTGAAGATTTTCTGAAGGGCAAGGGGGGCCCTAGTCATTATTAAAACCTTGATATCAATACATTTTTAAGTATTTCCATTGTATTGTTTACCCCCTGTCTTTAAATATTTCATCATTTTGGTTATAGTGGATATGTTCTAATACTAAAACATTTTTTGACAGTATTTATTGTTTTCGAAAAGCCATACATAGATAATATAAATTACAGATTTTTTTCTGAATTCAGCATAAAATGAAACACATTTTTTATTATATGCAAGGTTTAAAAAAACATTTCACCATAGCGCATATATATACACACACACACACACGCACGCACACACACACACACACAGCAGTATTAAAAAAAAAAAGCAGTCAGTTATTCATTCATATCCAGTTATTTTAGTATTTCCTGGCTAATGTTCTCTGACGCTATTAATGGTCTCCTTAAAAAACCACCAAGGGAGATAACATGCTGTGCTACTCAGCCTCCAACAACTATATTTCAGCACTGTTCAAAAGTAGGTAGAATGTCCCCAAACATTCGGAAACCCAGTCTTGCACAGACTGTAATATGTGTGATGACTGACTATAGATTTTTTTTATGAGAAAGTAGTGTACAGTCTTTGCTACACTACAAGTAGCATTCATCATAAATATTTCATAGACAGATGGACAGGTTTTATACAAACAAAAATAGCTTTGACAATTATTTGCAATATATATCTATCTTCACCTTTTGAGAAAACTAGAGAGAAGTGGTCTCAGCACCTACTCTGTAGTGAATCGTGCTTACTGGGTGCAGTACTGTCTAGCTATATATCAAGACTTCAGCAATCTACAATTAGGGCTTTTTAGTAAATTTAAATTTAACATTCCAGTTTTGTGTAAATTTCTCCCACAGACAAATAAAATGTGAAATGTATAAGAACTGAGGTGGTATTATTATTATTGTTATTATGACACTTGTGCAGTTAGTGAGTTTTCATGGTCGCCCTCTGCCTTAAGTGAGGCCTTTTGCTGGAGACTCACAGCCATAAAGGAGGCAAAGCACCAGCATTGCATTTTTAAAAAACAAAACTATTATGACTGAATTCAGGTCTCTTAGTCTCGAAATTCAAAGTTCAGCTCAGGTTGATTTTGAAGAAAGCACAATCATTTACCTACTTACTACACATATGGGTTGACAGTCAGACAAATCTGAAGCCCTTTTTCTCAGTTTCAGTCTCACCGTAGTTACAGCGTAGTTACTTTGTATCGCAGCTCAAAGAACTTTGCTTTTTTAAGACCTAGTAACACAGTTCCAGTCATGTCTTTCTGAAAGGTAAATTCTCTCTCTTTTTGCCCCAGCTATTTATCTGTACTTTCCTTTTTTACTTAATTTTCAACAAGCTTTCCAGTCTGAACAAAAGCTTCCCCAGAGCTACCCCCATTGCTGGCTGTGTTGGCGTAGCTGTTTGTAGGATGCTATCATGAGTTGATTGCAAAATGAAATCCATCCATCTTACATCCATCTTCACTTATCCTGGTCAGCATAGTGGGGGGGGGGGGTTCTTTTTTAAATAATGACTTTCTTCATACAACCTTTTCAAAGAGGTTAGGTTTGTGAGCTATTCTGGATGCTTCTGACTGATGCACATTATGTCTTATCTCAGCCACTGAACTCTAGTTTTTCAAAACCATTGGTGTTTGTTTTCAAAGCATGTTTTGCACACTGGAATCTGCATCAGCTTTCAATCTCTGACTGCTCACGTTGTCTGATCTGGCTGACGTCTGTGTGGTGTGTTGCACCTTCCATGAATGATCAATGATGTGGATATTCAGAGAATCCCTATTTTTCACCATTGTCCCGGTCTAGTCTTGTCAAACTACCCACGGTTATAGCACTAATGCAGATATCTGTTTTCCATTGTTATATGGGCTAGGTTATGAGTATTATTAATAGAAAAAAAACTTTTAAACATAATAAATTGGCAAGCCGTATAACTAAAAATAAACATTTGTCAAATTTGTAAAGCATAGTAAATGAAGAAATAAGTTTAAAATCATATTAAAAATATTGTTTCATTACATAACGCTATCATGCAGCATTTTTCTTATAGAATTATGTGAAATTTAATCAATCTAAGCAGTTAAAAAGATTACTTGATACAACAATGTTTGCCTCATACAAATATTTCCCTCCTTTCCCCTTTTTCCAGGGGGGTTGCTGGCAAGGATGATGCAATCACATGCAATTTAGAGACTCCTTAATGCTTGTAGAAGCTACTGCAGGCAATTTAAAATAAATATATAAATGAATAAATAAATTAGAAAAACTAAATGCATATTTTAGCTTTACAACATTTAAAAATAGAATATCTGCCATGTGTGCTTTTTTCAGCTAAGATATAACACTTGTTTTCTGATCACTACATTTAACAGAAATTACAGTGATTTATTAATGTGTTAACCTGAAAAATCTGAGTTTTATAATTATATAACATAACATTATAAATCTGTAATTATAAAATATGATGTGGCTTCAATGTGTGGTATATTATAGGTATGTTATGGGCAATGCATGGAACCATATGCCATTATACTATATGTATTATTATTATTATTATTATTATTATTATTATTATTATTATTATTACATAATGCTCTACTACAGATATCATTGGATGCACTTCCTCCAGTCAGCTTAAACAACCCTCACTGGGAGATGCCTGCAGAATACTGAATGACATAATCTCCACTGGTGTAAAGACCCTGACTAAAACAAAAATGCTTTGGTTACAAAGTATCTATGGGTCCTCTAAGCTATTTGTAGTCCTCAAGTGCATGATAATAGAAAGGAATTCCAGTCATGGTGAGATCATTGACGTAAATCTCCAAATAATATTCATCCGTCCATCCATTTTCTGTACCCACTTGTCATACTTAGGGTCACGGGGTTCAGAGCCTATCCTGGAAGCTCTGGGTGCAACACAGCAAAAAAAACCAGGGTGGGGTGTGAACCCATCGCAGGGCACACACACCATTCACACCTACGGGCAGTTTGGTAACTCCTACTCACCTGAGCATGTTTTTGTACTGTGGGGGGACCAAAGTACCTGGAGGAAACCCCACGATGACACGGGGAGAACATGCAAACTCCACACACATGGAGCCATGGCGGAGACTCGAACCCGGGTCCCAGGTAACAGTGTTGATCACAGCACCACTCCACCAGCCCCTCCAAATAATATGTTTTTAATGAATTACTAACTTTGACTCAAGTAGTAGAAATCTCAATTAAAAAGAAATTAATGAAGTTAATTAGCAAGCTGTAAAACGTCTCAGTCACCTGAAAATTCTTTCAGTGACCAACACCATGCTTTTCTTAAAACTTATTTTATCTAAAGACAGCTCAACAAATAATATGTTCAATCTTAATATATTAAAAAATGTGTCCACTTCCTTTCAATATCCAAATTGAAGAATTTCCAGTATCTGAGTAGGGCTATCTGCACCGAAAAAACATATTTATCTTACACAGCTAAATTACACAAAACTAATCAAAAACATGTTTTGTTGCCTATGGAACAGTCTGAATGTAATGCACGATATCTATGCAGATATTTAAAGAGCAAAACTACCATATATGGCACCAAAACATCAAATAATATACACATTCATTGACAAGTTGGTGCAGGAATAGCTGTCTAAATATGTGTTAATGTAAAGGATCATGATTGTACTATGAACGTCATGCACATCATCGTCTTCCACAAGCGCTTGTGTAGTTGTTCACCATTATTATTTACAGTATTACTAAAATTGAACCAACACCAAATACAC